ATGGTTGTTGTCTGTTTGCTTTGCTGGTGGGTAGCATCCAGCTTCACTACTAGCCCAGCTTGCCAATTCCACGTGGGTGGCCGGTAAACCCGTGTCTCGGAGTTTTGGCAAGTGCCTGTGATCCCGGATGTGGCGAAGGGCATCATAGCCGGCTGATGTGGGCTCCTACCTGAGGCTATTGCTTTCTTGCTACAAGGCTAACAGCACCAGCTGTTTATGGTGATGCCATTGATATTCCTAATGTGCACATTCCACCGTCGCTAAAGGATCAGGAGTCTACAAGTTTAACACATTGACGACAACGCGAGTTTTGGCTTTTTTGGCCACGTGGGACCGCGGCGATTTTGCGGGCGCGCTCGCCTCAGGTCGTTCAAGCAGATTTTGAGTGATAAATACACAACTAATGATCAATTCAAAACCAGATCAGTAAATTGTAATGAGCGCAACCTACCAGGGGTACAGTAGTGGAATTTCGATCGAAAGACATGGAATAACAATGAAAAAGCGAAATTTGTCAGAACTAGCTGCAATGGACCTCAAAAGCAATTTTACGTTGATTATTCCAATCAAAACACACATATTGTCATCCCTAAGGTTCCTTATCTACTTCTACTACTATTTAAATCTTCACATTCATAAAAAGAAAAAGTAAACGAAAAATTTATTGAAATGAAGATTTCGTATGGTTCAGAAATCCTCCTCTAAATTAAAGCATACGTGACCATTCTATGGGCCACTATGTTTGTAGCTACGTCAAGGTCTCTTCCATGGAATGAATACAAGAAACTTCTAAAAGAATCAGGCGTGCGCGAAAAAAATGAGTGTAATGGGTGCGGGGGATATATATCCCGCACGGTCCGACATGGCCTGCAATGCGCGGGATATATATCCCCCGCGTTGTCGTCAATGTGTTAAATATTACCAGGTTTCCTAATGGAGCAAGCCTCTAGCTCTCGTCTTGCACTACACGTATTGAGCTAAGTTTTTAGTTCGTTGTCCCTAATTGGCAATGCTCAGCGTCTCAGTATTCTAAGATGATTTGATGATGGTTTTATCCTCCTTAGCATCTTTTTAGGACTTTTCTTGTCTTTTTGTGGAGTTTAATCTTTATATACTTTGATCCTTCCCTTTACGAGCCATCTTCATGTGTTTGACGGCATGTCTTTTGACGTACGAAACAATAAACAATAATGTGAGCGTGGAGTGGTAGAGAAGTCCGAGAAGAGAGAGCATAGCAACGTGCGACGCAGACAAGATATCGAACGGTGGGCGGACCATGTTAAGTTTGGTGGAGTCTGTTAGAAGTCCATGGCGCCTAGGGTCCTAGTGACGCGTTTCGATGTAGAAAGGTGGCGCTAGCTTTGCACTTCTAGCCATGGTAAGGGTTTCTTAGGTAAGTCTGAGCCCGGAATCTGCCTTTAACACCGATGAAATCAGGTGATTTTTCCAGGGGAAAATGGTGCGCGATCGAGCTCACCGAGGCACTCAGCAGATCGTGGACCATTACGACATTATATGAAACCACTTTTGTTGAGGGGGAGGATGACGCATTCCTCAAGGTGGGCACTAGAGGTGTAGCAGCAGCCGATGGGAGACTGCGGCGAGAAGCTGTGGGTCGTTCTGAGATGAATGAAAAAGTTTGACCGGCTTCCCAGGTGAAAATGATTTCTTCGATCAACTTCCTTATCATTACAGAGGAGCCTTTCGTGAAACGTACAGAGCCATTAGAAAAATACCAGCGAACCAAGTAAGCATTGAACAAAAAAATAACTCACGCCGTAACACGTCTCATGCTTTTCCGTTATAGCCGATGAAGCGAAGCCATTTGGAGAACCATCAATCCACTCCAAAGCTTGAACCCGCAAGCCTGTCACTGCATACACATTATCTTCTTCACGACCTCCTTGACGTTGATGGCCCCTGTGCACTAGCTCTGGAAATAAATGAACAAATAACTCAGGCAGTCCATTCGCCTGCTTGGATATTCACTTCCGACTTTGTTTTTCAATACTGATAATAAATATGTGTTACCATTTTGGCTGGGCTGGGCACGCATTCGCGTGCACCACACAGGACAGCAGTGGTATGAAACAGGACCGCACCTTTCTACACTCCCTTCTGACAAATCCCGCCCACCTTAGTGCACTGCCCACCCATCAATAACATCGACCAGACCCGTTTCGCCAGCTTTATACACCTTTTTTCCGGTACAAGCAATTTTTGAACCGAAAAGAAAGTTAGGCGGCGAACTCCACCCACCTCTTTGCACGCTTCACCAAGCAACTCAAAGCGTTTGACCTCCCTTTCTTCCACCGCCCACGTTTCTCCCTGTACTTGAGCAGCATGGAGCTGACTACAAGTTCGTTGGCAAACTACGTCCACTTTGATGCACGCCACACACACCATCAACTTTCATCTTTATTCCCGGCTCTGAGCTCTATCCACTTTTCCCCTGTTTCTAAAACCTCTCGCAATGTACAGCAGATTTCTCCACTAATCCTTTATTATTCGGCAGTCTGGTTCCGACGAGATTTGCCTCCCTTCTACAGGAGCCAGCAGCTTTTATACACACAGAATTCTAGTTCTCAAAACATTTCTAGGCTAATACAATCAGATAACAGTATTGAACATAAACATTTGCCAGAGCTTGAGAGAATTCAAACGAGTGACTCATTAACAGATAACGATTAACCTACATTCAAGAATAACTGGGAATAGAGAAAGGAATAGAGGATTGGGAAATTCTCTATACGCAACCGTGTTGTAATGTTTCGTTGCATATTCCGCTTATTTTCTTTCCCACCCTTTCGTGTTGATGACAGTTGACTTCCTCTCTCTCGCCGATCTCTAGCCTCTTTTTTTGCGACTAAATCAAATTATGGGGATTTATTATAAAAAGCGTCCATTCAGGAGCATGCTCGGTCCGTTGTGTGCGGGCTTTTGCTTGGTTCGAATATGACCGCGAGAACACCTTAGATATTGCTCTCCTAGTCCGATTTTTCTTGCTCCATAGGCCTTCTTCCACGCAAGTCACGAAGTTTCTCGTCTAGCGCAGCCCATCTGGAAAACACTCGCCCACCGCGGACAGGTCTCACGTAGTCGACTTATCAACTCATTTCATACCTTACCCTTCTTTTTCCAGTCTGGCTGTTCTATAATCCACCCAAAAGTTTTGCGGTCAGCGATGCCCAATCCGGCGCGTGCCACGTCCACCATGGGCGGAGCTCCGTCTCTGCGAGCTGGTGGACGTGGTGTTCTGTACACCTTGACCCGTCCGCCAACCATCCTGACTCTTTAGATGGTTATTCAGGTAATATCGAACTTGGTGATACACTCAAAAACCCACACACACACCGCACATACACTAGAGGAATCATTTCCTGCATGTGATGAAAATGAAGGGAGGTGTAGAAGTAACTTCCAAACAAAAAACCCTGTGGCAGGTTCTCTTTATCTTCTCCCTAGCGGTAATCCCGTGCAATCGCAGGTAACGGTTTGGGATTGAGTCCTGGGTCGTGCGCCGGCCAATCCGGCCAAGCCTGGGTCTGTGGTCCGACGGGGGACATCTGCTGATGCAGTCAGCTAACGAAGACAAACAAAGTCCATCGCAAGATGCGCGAGCATTGCGCAACGCACGTAGAACCGACGGGGGAGAGGGGGAGGCTCCAGCAAATGTGGGTAACTCTCTTTTCCTGCGGAGTTTCTGCTCACCCACAAACTCAGGCTTAGTCCTGGGGCGGGATCCTGCTCTGAATACATAGGAGTTCTTGACCTGATTTGCTTTGTTAGGTGTCTGAGCGCATCAGTTTGCAAATACAGGCTTTAACATGTTCTCTTTGGTAACTGAACAGCTGCGTCAGCAGATGTCCCCCCCCCCCGTCGGACAACAGACCCCAAAACGCATTTGAGCATCACCTTCTTTGAGTGAATGTATACAAATGGAAGGTGAATGCGTGCCGCATCCCAAAAGGGATTGATCGACGGCAAATGTATTAACCTTCATCAGTTTGATTTCGCGTGCATCCGCGTGTATCACATGCGCATGGACAACCTGCAGAATATTGGGCCAGAGAAAGTGAGGTTATGAATTTCCGTTCAGACAGGAACACACACAGCCGCACATCGGAATATACAGGGGGGGGGCAAAAAAAAAGTCACTTTGCCCATGGCGCACATCATTATTTTTCGTCGCACAGGATGCCGTTGTTGATGAATGTTTTACGGCAGAATATTCCTTAATGTCCCCCCCAAAGCAGAAGCAGCCCCTCCTTCACTGCCCTCACGGTCTTCAGAATATGACGTCATCTGCCGTCACCGTCGAGCTCAACGAGGCCTACCGTAGTTCCAACCTGAAGCTGCAACATCAATTCTTCGATGAGGTAACTGGCAGCTTCTTAGAGACATTAGCTGTGACTGTGTGACCGTTTTTGACCAGCGTTCCAGGGACGTCATAATAGCTTATGGTATCTCGACGACCTCGTTGAGTTCGCAGCGTGAATCATGCCTCCGTGGAATAATTTTCTGATGTCGTCGGTGTAGAAGGCTGTCATGTGAATTTTCGATAGAATAGAATGTGCTCTTTCATATGCAATTAAGTTTATTCTGGTTTGGTTCTGCAGTTTGCAGTTAGTTTCGTTCTGAAGTGTAGAGGGAAGTGGCGCTTTTTTTGCCCCCCCCCTGTAGATAGTAAGATCCTTTGTTCTCACTTTTAAGCCGCTGAATACTCCTCTTCCACATGCGATCAAATGACCGTGACCAATGCCAAAAAAGATTGCCTTTGCTAGCACTGTTTACCCCTTTACTGCCCCATTCCTCGAGAAGTGAGCGGAAATTCCATGACTGTGGACTTGGCTAGGTACGTGTCTTCAGGCCGTCAACACGTAAACACGAAAATATCACGTTCGCATTACCCGCTAGAACGTCTGCGCTCGCGCCAGAAGCCGCTGTGACAAAAGCGCCTGACAAAATATCTTCAGCGGGTAACATTGCCTAAGAACACGAATCGGCATTTTATTAGCTGGATGAGCCTTTAGCCTTCGCTACAGGCGCTCGTGCGAAACTGTTGTGGTAGCGCCGGCGCCTCTGACGCGGGCGCGAAGCGCTGTCGCGCCAAACTGGGGGAATAGTCGTGCTCCAATTGTCCCACTGCGCCTGAGCAAGTTTTAGCCAATCGCCAGCCTGCGCGAGTTTATCAAAATCCGCCAAGTCTGAGCAATGTAGCAGTAAGGGTGAATAGTGCCTTGCGTTTTCCATGTGCCATCGCCACACCTAAGAGAGAGAGCGCAGGCGAGCAGTAAATGACAAATTCCCACCCCCTCTTACTCGAACAGCAATTGTTGAAGCCCTGCCGTGTCGTGTGCAATTCCAGTGAACCATAGTGATGTAGCGGTTAAAAGATTCAGGTCGTTCAAAGCTAGAGATTACGATAAAGTCTGTGCAGCATGGAAGAACGAGCAGCACTTCAAGCAGTAGCTAGAGCCCAAAGGAATCGAGATGTGGCCTTTTTGTGACTAAAGGTGCGCTCGTTGCAGCGCCCTGGGGCTGCCAATCCTTTCTGAGCTCCGCCTCCGCCTGTGCTCCGCCCCTCAGCAGATCGCTGTTCGATTATCATTTTGATAAGGTATGCCACTTCGAGCGCGTATCCAATAACTTTCTCATGGAATGCTTTATCAATCAAGGTATGATCTCTGGTGGTATGATGGCAGCTATGGTTTAACGAGTGCCGACGACCTCTTAGTTGGTTGCCAACTCGTCCATTATCGGAGGTCAACGGGCAGAGGAAGTGGTCCCATTTTGCGCGTTTTTGACGGATTTCTTTGCTTTTTTCGCTACTAGGGCATTATTCAGCATCTCCACTTCCACTACAAACACAACATAACCCTATCGTAATCTCTCGCTTTAAAGGAGGATCACACGATAAGAACAAATGTGGGAGAATAGGAAACTTACGTACTGGAGCCACAGAAGGATAAGGGTGCCCACCAGCACGCAATTTGCATCGGAAGATATGCTCTCCTCGATCTGACATAGCCCGTTCATGCTTTGAGAATCGGCTATTTTGCGCGATTGGTAGCACGTTCGCAAAGGGACGCACGCGCCGCGACGCGTCAGGAATCAATCAATGACTCATCCATAGACTTGAATCTTATCTGTCGGCACGTATCAAATCCTTCCACGCTGGTCGCCCCATCGCATCTTCGCCTCGCGCGATCGCTGAAATCCAGACGCTATCTCGCATGTGACGCTTTAAGGCGGAGTCGAGCCAATCGATATGCACTCACTTCATTTGATAGAATCGCTTGGTCGCATCATCGCATCTTCGCATATAAGCCGATTCTCAAAGTATGAACGGGGCCACATGGTCTTCCCTTCGGCGCGATTGGCCCGGAACGCCTGCCGACTATCTAATCACTCGCCGCAGATCTATACACGCGAGTGATTAGATAGCAGAGAGAGCCTTTGCGTTGAAGAGGGCACAACGATGAGAGTCGCATCAATGCGGAAATCAACGGGCAAGAAAGGGTCCATTTCTGGTTCCGGGCCGTTTCACATAGTTTCTTCTTCATCCCTGCTTCACTGACTACCTCTACCCTTTCCAATCAGCAAACTTTTCTGGTAAAATCCGCCTTCATGTTTACGCTTCTATGAAACTACATTGAGAACCTCCTATAAAGTTCAATTCGTTTTCGGATAGAACAGACGTCAGATGGGATTCATGTTCTCGACAAAACGATTCTGCTGCATCAAAAGAAGAACCAGCATCTTTCAGCTCCGCCACCTGGAATAGACCACAGCGAAACTAATCATTCTGTTTGAAATAACAGTCACAGTTTGATGGCATTTTTCGCTGACTCACTTTGATCAATGCTTCATCGTCACTGCCTTGTAGAGCAACCCATTCACCCTCCATGGCTCTTTCAATCGTATCGTCGTCGATGTAAGAGTAGCAGACCGGGTAGAAGCTCCAGAGGAGCAACACGCAGCAGTGAACATAGAACACCATCATCACTCAGCAGAGGAAAATGACCTCACCCCAGTTTTCCAGCTTTTATAGTGTTCCTTATCATGATGACCACCACGCCCTATCAGATTCTTGCCTCGACTGGCAAAAACATGTGCTGTTTTCGTTTTGTATAATCGCCTCATCTTATGGATCACTAACGTGTTTTTTCCGGATTGCGGTATTTCAATGTGTATGTATACTTTTGCAGTACCCGAGACGGAAGAGGACAAGGGCCATAGATCAGGGTCAACCCTGCGTTGCGCAAATTCCAAAATTTTTACGACCCCCTTCCTTTTCGGAGGGTATCGGTACGACCCCCCGTATTAACTATTATGTCTTTCACATAATTTAATGCTCATCATTGATGTATGGGCAGTCACCAACATGGAGAAGTGGTGGACCGTGGTCAATCCGCGCGCTCTGTCTCGCTCAGAGGAGGGAATCGAGGCAAATGAAGTTTTATTCATTAAATAGAAGGAATTTCCAAATTTTTGCGTAAACCAATACACATCACAAAGATTTCTACTTTCAGAAACCTACCAAGTTTTTTTCGATTCTACCAAGTTTTTTTCGATCTCTCAATTTTCCTTATTTTATAATCTGAAAAACTAAACCTTGTAGCAATTACGTTGCAATCCAAACCCCTCCATTCAGAAGGTTATATTTTTTTCAGAAGCGGTCTCATGGACACCAAAATTTAAAAATTCAAATAGTTTTCTTCCTAAAAAGTATTTGAAATGTTACGATGTTCAATATTTCAAAAAATCGTCCCGTTGTTCCGTTTTTTGTGCACACGCGAGTTTTCGACATTCAAACGTTCATAAATTTCCTCATAGCCTACTTTTTAGCTATTAGCGCTTTCGAACAAGCACCTTCCTAAGTTTTTTCCAGCGATGGTCCGATTTTTGAGACGGCGCGAGTTTTCGACATTCAAACGTTCATAACTTTCTTCATAGCCAACTTTTTGCAGATGTCTAAGGCTAATTAGAAACTAGAAGATTAGAGCTTCGAATAAGTGCTAAAACTTTTTGAAATAATCACTCGCTCAAAAAATAGTCCCGTTGTTCCGTTTTTTCCACCTTGATTTTTTTCAAGCCATTTTCCTGGACCGCGACTATGCAGTCTTCAAAGGCCCATAACTTCCTTCAAAATTAATGTGATGAGAAGCGGTAAAGACTGTTAGAATCTACTCGAAGAGTACTTCAAAAGTGTAAAATTTCCCCTGAAATTCTTTCTTCTGCCTTAATTTCCTAAGGGGTTTCTAGAACTCAATTCAGCAAGTTCGCTACACTTTGTTCCGCTTAGATTTGATTTGAAAGCATCAAAATTTTCTTTGAAAGTTTGTCTGCTTACGGCCGCTGACAGAGAGGCGTTTTTGTGGGAAAACGCCTGCTCGGGTATACGCCGTGCACCTGTCTGTGGCAGAAGTCGCACTCGCATTTGAAAGTCCTCCATTTTCCTGAAGAAGGTGTTAGTATCGTGATTGAGTTGCATTGTACTATGGTACTCTTGTTTCACTTCCCCATGAACTGCTCTACACTTTGTTCTCCTTGGGATTTCAGGAATGTTCGATCATCGAAGACAGACCATGTTTTTGCACTACGCTGTAACAAAGTTTTTGGCTATTGTAATCTTGATCTATGCTGTCGAGTGAAAGCGCCGTCCGTGTATTAAAGGCACAACCCAGGCAGAGGTCGTGTGAACGCTTCTCTTCGGTCTGTAGTATAGACCCCTGGACAATCACAAATGTGGCGTTCCCGTGCACGGAAACCAACCGACAAGAGCGCTTGGGCCCAGGGTCAACCGTCACGTTCGAACATTTTCGGGATTTTTGCGACCCCCTAGCTCTCGAGGGGGTCCAGTTGCGACCCCCTGTTTTTGTTAATAAGAGTGCTAGACATGAATCCGTTGCGCCAGAAAGCGTCTGCGTTGCGGCGTCAGCCTTGGAGCGCGGCAGGTATCACCCGGGCGCTGGAAGAACGGGACGCGGCGAAGAAAAAATTTTAGAGGGGAATAACTTTCTTGGGACGTACTTTTTTGACTTGTTGAGGTAGATTTTGATTGTGCCTGAGGTGCGCTTTCAGAAAACTACAAGGATTGCCTAACTCTCCGGAAAGTACTTCTGTTAGAAGTGGAAAACCCAAAATTCTAAGAAGGCGCACCTTCAACTTTGAAGGCCCATAAAATCTTTCGTATGCGACATTTTGGAAATCTGTAAAAAGTTTCAGAAACTTCAAATATTTCTCTAACAAAACAGTATAAAAAGTTTAGTGATTGTCCCCTTTTTCAAAAAATTGTCCCGTTCGAACATTTTTCGTGCAAAAGCGAGTTTTTGGGCTTTCAGCGACCATAACTCACTTCATTTTCATTTCTGTGATGCACTTTTTTCATGGGGTGAAAGTACAGGATTTGCTCTTTCTAACAAGCACCAAACCGTTTTTTCAAATCCATTTTCCGAGAAAATCACACGTTCGAACATTTTGTTCCCATAGGTTTTTGAGCAGCACATGCGAGTTTTTGAGCTTTCAGCAATAATAACTTCCTTCAAAGAACTTGTTGGGGAGGGCGAAGACATTTTTGAAGACTACGAGATTTCCGCTTCCTTATGTTTACAGTTGTCTGGAAGAAGCGTCCCCAAAAAATTAGGTCTCCGAAGAACTTTGTTTTCAGCCCCGAGAAGTCAAACCTTTCATAGGGATGCATTCAACTGTTCTTTATTCCTCAAGGAAAACACCGTAATTTGCCTAAAACTGTCTCTCTGTGCATAATAATCGAATCTAATGCGGTCTGCACAAAGCAATTCTTGCCCTCGGATACGCCACGCACGCGCCTGTGGCTGGCAGTCCTCGAAATTGCGACCCCCTTCCGACCAAAATGCGACCCCTTCGTTCGAACAGTTCGAACGGACGGTTGACCCTGCTTGGGCCTTGCAAAGTAAGCTGCCCAAGCTGCAGACTTTTTTCTCTTATCAGGCTGTTGTCTGGCGCTCTCTCATCTGTAGCGCTCTCTCGCCTCATACTCTCCTCTCCGCGCTTAGTCTCTCATTCCCTTAGCACAGCCGATTAGGAAGGTGAGTGAGCCCTAACCTAAGCGTTTTCGACGGATTCTTTTCCTTTTTTCTTTACTGCCGGCCCACTTCGCACCAATACATTCACATTCGTGTGCAAGAGCCACACCAGTGTGATCCTGGGGCATGCCTTTAAGGATATCATGGCTGAGAGTGAGACTTATAATGCTCTGCATGCTCTAATGCTCCCATGGAGCTCATGTCTGTGTGACTCTCCGACAGCGTGCAGAGCTCCTGGAGAACATTAGAGGCTGAAAGTGCACTCCCGGACACTGCACTTTTCAAGCCGTCTTGCAGCCCGTCTCTGTGGATACGACCCCCTCCCTTTTCGGTCGGCTGAATACGACCCCCTCGTTGTTCTTTGCGCAACGGGCGGTTGACCCTGCCAGAGATGCGGAGAGATTAGTGCTAGATGTCCCACCTATCCTTGCGTTGATTTACAAAGACTGTAGAAAAAAGCAAGGTAGATTACGCGAAGTAAACAGCTCGCTCATGCCTCTGCATCTACGACTCCTCGTTGCGGCTTCCTGTGAGGTAACCCACCCGGATTCGGCTACGCCCTCTCCGGCTTTTAGGTGCGTCGGCGGTGCAGGCCATAGAAAATTGTAACAGCAATGACAATAACGTATATCATCTATCACCATTCACAATGAACCAGTACTTATCAGATTTTCTTCAAGGTCGTAGTCAATTACGGTCGTGTTGTATGCACTCGACCCGCTTCTGGTTCACGGAAGCAAAAAATGTATGCGTGGGTGACTGCTTGTCCGTCCGCAAACCCTGGAGCTAGGAGCTAGGAGCATGCAACAGAGACGGAGTTTAGGCGCTACCCTTTGTCCTCTTCTGTATTCTCTTATCCTTAGCACTGGAGAGCACTCCTTTGGACTCATCAATGGAAAGTACAAGATAATACGTGAACGACTCCATTCAAGTGCACTTTTGATGAAGAGGCGTCTCTTCCTGCTTAATTTCTCGCTCCTGTTCGTTCATCGTGGACTTACTAAACCCTCAGCCCTTTGCAAGAATATCCACTGCAGTGGTTCGGGACCATTTCTGGGCCATTGCTTGCTGAAATATCTAAGCAACCCAGGAGTACTTTCACCCTACATCTGTATTTATTGAATGTATACTTTGAATTTCGATTACGTGCCATTATGCGCTTCTATTCTCATCTAAAGTTTTGAGGAATACCGAACTACCTTACTCGATCAACGCTTGCCTATGCTTACCCGTGCGAAGAGTTTGTGAGGAGTTTCTAATCAGTTTGGGCGGTACTTACTAAGACTGCACATGGAGCCCACAGAACTCTTGGCAGACGTTTTTGCAGCAAACAGTGTGATATTCGTGTTTCTGAGATACATGTTACAGTCGGTATCTCGAACTCTGATTGGGCGTGTCACCGGAAATGACGTGGCAGCCATCGCACTTGCTAGATGCCACGTGGATAAGATACTCCGCCAGATATCAGCGAAGCATGCTGGAAGCAGCTTATCCGCGCAATTTCTATCAAGTGCGGTGGCTGCCACGTCATTTCCGGTGACACGCCCAATCAGACTTCGAGATTTGGAGTGTATATTTGCAGCCACATCTTAGACTTCGACCTGATTATTTCGAAATAAATTTTTTCCTGAAAAGCGTAAAACAGTGTCTAGTTTTCTGCTCGAGCGGTTTAAACGCCCATATGGTAAAATGGGGGGGGGGTTGTCGTATGTAGTTGAGGTTGTAGCGGGTCGTACTCTCCGGGTTTGTGGCCGGCAATGGGCTTCTTGATAATATCACTATTGATAATAGATGGCGGTACGGAGGGAAAGAGCAAACGGAGCGCAGAAACTGAGTTGAATACTTATAGAATGCATTGTTTCATGTATCCCGGGGTGGCCAAAAAAAAGAGACACTTCACTCCACATTTCAGACAGCATTAATCACACTTTGCTAA